TAACCCTGATGACTTTAAATGTTTTTATGTGGATTTATTCAATTGTGAGCCGTGGCCAGTTAACTAACTGTCAGTAAAGTCATCAGAAGTTCTGTATCCTCATCCTTGATGTAAAACATGAGCAAGTTATCACAGAGATTTGACTATTCCGCTATTGATTCACATTACCAGTAACAACTCAAAATGAAAATAGGAAACAATTGTCTTCTTTGTCTCTATATCTCTGTCTTCCAAACATATCATTGTTTATTGCACTTCTTGTACTCAGCACAATCATGCTATTAAATTTCTCTTTCCTTCTACTTGTGTACTTCTTATGCGTGTCATGAGCTTCTTTTCCTGAACTACTGTGTTACTACTGTTTCTGAGTCACCCATATTTCCTACTTTATCTCTCTTGCTGCCTCACAATTTTCACACAGAATGTACGCATTTTTGTTGTACCTTCAGCAATATCTGAAGTTTTTCTGAGATCCATTGGCCATTCCCAATAATTAATTGTTCATATTAATATAAAATGGTAAATTGCTGAAGGTTAACACTGTCACTGACCAATATGGTTTTATCAACATGATTACACTGTGTTTGCCTGTTTGTTTTCACAGCAGTCCATCTTTAGCTCTGAATGTATGAAACGTTTAGAAATATGATCTTGGCCCTCAATAGATTTGCTCCACACCTTTTTAGGATGTTGCTGATATCGGAGGGAAATCCACCCTAAAACCGAATTTCCATTTGTCTATTCTGATGATTTCTTAATAGCAAGTCAGTATCAACTATCACAGTAAAGATGATGTTACCTGTATTTATAGAAGCAGTTATTTATGCTTTTTATTTTTAATTCATTTATATTTATTTTTTTAAGAAAGGTCAGATTCTGCTTACGTTTTGAGTATATTCAAAAGAAAAGAAAATCTTTGTTTAGTTGTTAGGTATCCCTTAATATTGATAATTCAAACAGTGGTGTACAAGGTCTGGGCAGCACAGTCAGTGGTTTGCACTGTTCTCCCCATGTTTGCATGGATTTCCTCTGCTTGCTCTAGTTTCCCCCAGCATCAAAACAAATATATTAGGTTAATTTTAAGATCTGGAGTTTAGTCCCAAGGCACAGCGGCTGCCCACTTTTCCTATACATAGTTCTATGTATGTGACAATAAAGTTGATACCATTTCTTGAAAATCAGTGGGTATTGGGCAGAGGACAGCAACCTTTATGATCAAAAGAGCCATTTTTAAAAAGAAATATAAATCTTTCTGGAGCCGCACTTAAAATTCTAATTTCTCGCCACAGATTAAGCATACCGGTAAGCAAGCAGCGTCGGTGATGTAGCAAACAAATCTTTACTAATACATTCTCACTTTTCCTCAGTGACTTTTTTTATTTTGGATTCATAGCCAGCCTGGCTACGGAGATGCAAGACTAGTAGACACCACTATTGAGGTTCAGGTCAGGATGTAACGTATGACGCACATTTTAGTTGAAAACACTTTCAAACCTTTTTCATTCGGTTTGGATTTGGTGTGTAATGACTACTTTAGGCTTAAAAACAATGATAAATTAAAATGTTAAACTAAACTTAATTTACACATGTAGGTGCTAAAGAGCCACAGGTTGCCTACCCTTGGTAGTGGGGTTGAGAATTTAATAGGATGTACAGAGTCACATTTCCACATATAGTTAGAATATTAAAAGGCCCTGTACAGACATGGTAAACACACACAGGTGGTTTCTTGTCTTTTGGCTGATTGGATGAGTGGCCATTGGTACAGGAAGTTCTGTGATGCATTGCTCTGCTCACCTTCAGACCCAGCAGAGGTCTAATGAGCCAGAATAAGGGAAAACACATTTATGGGTGTCCAGAGCCATTGCAAATGTTATACTTTAGGGTGGATTTCCCCTTTAACCAGATGAAACAAAGTTGCCACAGATAAAGTTCCAAGCAAAGTAACATTGTCACTGTTATTATTTTGATTTTCTGGAACAGACTGCAGGTAAGGTATTTATTTTTAAAATGTGTTAATGACTACCTATATCTTTATATCAGGCAAACATTTTATGGGATTAATAGGAAAACTCAATCCCATAGTTGGGCTACAAATCAGAATTTTTGACAAAGAATTGTGAAAGGGTTTATGCTGTTGAATCCAGGCTAGATATTATTGGTGTGTGTAGCAAAAATCAAGTCCTATTTCACAGAAAGATTTCTCACATACTGTCCAAAAAAAAAAAAAGTAAACAGGGTTTTTAGGATACAAAATAATAATGTATTCCATGTGTAAAAAGTGACCATATAGAGACATACATAAGCTATCAGACTGCTAAAATAAGCTTTTACTGAAAACTTGACTTTTTGTCAATTTTTTTCACATCATGTCAAATTTTTCACATGGAATAAATGTATTGTTTTACATCTAAAGAATCTCTTATACTTGTAATGTCTGTGTGAAGGCAAATTTCTCTATGAAAATGGAAAGCTGTTTTGGCAAAACTATTATTAATTTGTTCAAAACTCTTTGATCTCTAAAATCATCTCATCTCAATCGTTTCATTAAAAAACATGAATAAACTAGAACATTATTAGTTTTCCAGGCTTCCATGGAGCCAGAGGGTGGCAGCAAAGTCTGCAATCTAATATGTGTTTTTGTTTCAGGGATTTGGTAGAAGCCGCTCCCTTAGTCTGCCCAAGCGACTGAATTCGATGCCTTCTCCCAGACTTTTGTCACCTGTGAGCACACCAGGAATCCAGCCGCCATTTTTACCTACACAGAGGCAAACATCCTTTCAAGAAAAAGTCTACAAGCCACTATCACCATGGGAGGCAGCATCCAAAAGCCCCATTGGTTCAGTGGATGAGGCCTTCATGTTTCAGAGCCTCCCGTTATCTGTTGCCTCTAATGTCAAAGCTGCAGGACATCGCAGATCTCTGCCAGAGCCTCCAGAGGAATGGAAGCGCAGGGTGTCTCTTGAGCCTGCAGCTGTCAGTATGGGTCATTATAATGTGGGTTCAGCTTTTCAGGCACCGTCCATGAGCAGGACATTTTCACCTGAGAAACCAGCCTTCTATGGGCCTCCCTTCAGACCTGCCCAGCCTCTAAGGCCAGCCAGTAGGGCCAGTATTGGATACATGGGTTAAGGCTCCAGGCCATCAAAGTACTCTCCCTTGCATAGTGCAGTCCAGAGAAGTTAAGACCACCATGATTGTCAGACATACATGATAACATAAATGGTATACTGAACATGAAATACAAAAAAAGTACATCCGGCCCAAAGAGATGGAATATGTTTTCTCTATTATGATGAAAAATCAAGTTGTTGTTGACATGCATTGGTTCAAATTTATCCAATAGGTCCGACTTAGCACATTTTAGATGATTGATAATGTTTATTTTGAATTGTCAATGGGAGTGATTGGTTTCAGACGCACAAAGTCACTATCTTCATGGTACGAGTGGTCACTTGGTTTGAAGGGCACTACTACTTACTGTCTATCTATTGTGCTGTGTTGCTGATGAGGTATTAACCGGCTAAGTATTGATGGGAAATTCATTTCAGAATAATTATGTTTTTGAGGACAGAAGTGGACCACATGCAGTCAAGAAATGTGTTGGCAAAGTGTTATGAGAGCTAAAGTGAACGTGTTGAAGGTTGTAGATGAGTGAAATGTTTGATACATTGCTTGGTTTAAAAAGTGGATTGGTGTTGCTCACTGAAAATGCTTTTAATTTCGAAAAATTTATTTATAACCAACTATGGTTATAAATATTTGGTGAGAAATAAGGCAGTTTAAGAAATCATATGTGTGGCTTTGTCCCGTCATGTATCTTTACTGTAGCTTTAAAACTTCAAACTCACTGTGGCTTTTTCAGCTTGGTGTGATGCAAATGATTTCACAACTGAATATTTCATACAGCGATAACCATTACAAATGTTACTCATCTTGTTTTTTCTCTTGTATTTTCTCTCTCTACTATTGCAGTGGCAATGCCGAGTATATTCAAAGAGTGAACATTTCTATTAATCTGTTTATCAATCTATCTATCATGTATCTGCTCTAAGGATGCTGCAGTGCATTTTTAGGAGGGTTTGACGACCTACATGTGAGATTACAAAACGAATATATGTTTTTTGCTATTATTATATACAGTTGGTTATATGTTTAAGTCAAGAGGAATATATGTTGCATGCACATATTTATGAAGTGTCCCACCTTTGATCATACACTGTGTGTGGGGTTAAAGTGAACCACGGATTCTGCCACTGATGTACTCATGTTTCTTGCCTATCAGGCTAAATGTTTTGGGCTTTTACAAAGTGTTTGATGATTTTTTGATGAAAATGTTATTTTTTGCACTTTTAAAACATATACTGAAAAATTAAAAGACACAAAAATGCTTTCAGTCTTTAATGTGTATTTTTGTATGCATGAAGTCCAGTGACATAATGCTTTAATTTAAAAAAAGAAGCATCTTTGTGCAGAACTTTGATTTGGATTTATTCTCTGATTATATGTGACATTTATTTTGTGACTATCTTTTTGATTATGTCAGGAACTTTTCTGATGTGTCAACAGTATTTTTATTTTTGCAAGTGATTAAATGTTGCGTGTCATGTCTAAAGTATGACAACAGGTTTAGCTGCCAGGGTTTTGACCTTGATGCTACTTTATGAAAATCCTTTTGGCCTGCCACCATCTCGAGGATGGCACCACTCTCCCCTTTAACCCCCCTTGCTGGTCATTATCTGCCGTCAGTAAACACACATAATAAACAGTAACACAACTCAGTATGAATAAAGTAGTACACAAGTAGCAGCTGTGCCCAGCATTGACAACCTCAATTGAAGCCTCTGAGGTTAAATCAACCCACAGAGACTGTTGTTGCTGACACTGAAGATTTAAGACAAGGAAGGAAATATGTCTCTGGAGGGGAGCCCTGCCTTAAAGAACATCCGTGGGTATGAGTGTGTTGTCCATCTTTTCGCTCGCTCTCTCGCTGGTAGCTATCCTTGCCTCATGGTGTTTGAGAGTGGTTTTGAGTGTTTGGCAGGTTAAATTTAGACTATTGATGTAAGCTGCATTCCATTCACAACAGACACAGAGACACACTCACAGTTTGGCTTTAGTGTCCAGGAGTGTGAAGATCAGGGAAGATCAAACTACCGACTGTAGGTTGACCCCTGAGTCTCTGTGTCTCCACTTCAAGGATACAGGTTGCACACTAGGGATACCATCACAGGTACGGACAAGCCTCGTCAGATGTATTGTGTGAATATGTGTTGTATTTAAATTATACTGAAGCTATGTTATAACATTCAAGAAAGTCCTAGTATTGTAGTAAATAAAATTGAATGCATCTAACTAACATTTCTATTTTATATAAATTATAGGAATTACTTTCTTATGACCTTACAACATTTAACATTTTATCAGTTGATGAGATTTATTTTCTATCTTCAGAATTGCATTGCTTTGTTTTCTCTTTAACTTGCATGGAAATAATCTTTAAACTGTCACAAATGTCATTGCTGCAAAGTCAGCAGATGGGCACAAGTGCATTTAGAGTCATACCTTCTAGCATCATGTTCTGCATTTCACAACAAAGCAATACTAAATATATTTGATTGTAAAATGCAAGAAAGTTATTTTGGATATGATATTTGAGCACTTTCTTTGTACTGCGGGACATTTGTTGTGTCCAGCTACGCTACAAACTTAGGACAATATTCACCCTTGACCTTTACACAGGTGATTTAGCTTGTGACAGCATTAATGGGAGATGCCAACCAACATTAGCTCACATACTCAGAAACTGATCCAGTGAAGAGGGCAGATTTAAGAATTACGTGTGCGGTACCAATGCAAGTACAATAGGGCTTTAGGATTACACAATACATTGTAAGCTGTTACATGTAACCACTAGAGAGATTTTGATAACACAACAAACACTGACACACATTTATCAGATGGGGCACCTTCCAAATCATCCTCAAATTCCAAAAGATGGTTACAGCAAATGGGACATAGACTTAAAACTATGTATATTATACTAGTATATTACATAACAGAGAAGAATGGTGAAAGTCCTCCTGTATATCTATATATGAGTTTCATTCTGTCCTTTTCACCTTTTCAATATTATCTGTTTCATGTTGACAGTAACACAACAGGGTTTTTTTCTATGATGAAAAATGACCTTACACTCGCACTCCAAACAGCAAACTGTGTTTATGTAACCTGTCAACGTATAGGGCTAGTACTGCGTTGATGTTGGGGGTCACAGTATTAGGAATAAAACTCCTCCTTTATGAATTGGGCAGAACAACTACATCCTGTGTCCTGTGTTTCCAGTACTCCTGAGTTCTGCCAACCTTGCCAAAGCCACAATGTCACAATTCTGTACAATGCCAGCTGGAGAGAGGAAGAAGTGTGCAGCAGCTATTTGCCGAGAGGTCCATGGTACCAATGGTATGATGCTATAGCTGTGGCTCAGTGGACAAACACACTGCTGCAAGAGAATATCCATTCTGATCTGGGTTCAAAATGTCAGGGCTACTCTTCAGCTTTCGCCATAAATAAGCTAATGGGATGATTTACTACCTATGGTGGATAATCCTTTGTCGTTGTCCTTTTCAAAAGTCTATTTCTGGAGAGGGGAGGGAAGTTGTGAGGGCCAACTGCGTAGCTGTTTGTTATGTGAAGGTCTGTGACAGCTGGGGTACATTCCGTCTGTAGTGGTCGATGAGGAAGCATCCATGTACATCCAAAACAAATTCTCAAGTACAATGACAACAGATTTTCCATGACACGGCTTATAAAATGGACAATATGAATATTGAGAAGCCTTTGATGTAATTTATGGACGCTTAAACCTATTTGGCTGACAAAATGCTATCAGCGGACATTTCTATGTGTATTTATATTTGGTATCCAGCACTTTCCAACTCTAAAACCAGCGCTGGATTAACCGGCTAGGTCCCCGGGCAAAAAAAGAACTGCCACTATTCCCCCACCCTTCTTCCCAAGTTAGTTTGCGATAGTTTGATTAAGCACAATGTATGTAAGAAGACGCCCCATGTAAACACAATAGCAATCATACATTAAAGGTATTAAAACAACATTTCTACAAGACGGCCTATTAGGATGAGATTAAAAAGCTACATTAAGAAACTCACCATGCAAATCTATATTGTGCTATTGTATTGTGTATTGCCAAACAAATTTGTAGTTAAACAAATCACCATGATTGCCACATCGTAAACCTGTGGTCTTTGGGACCCCCAAGGCAGTTGCACACTTTTGTCCATTATTAGCAACCCAATAACAACAACAACTAGAGTTCTGGTTGGTTACAAAACAAATTCTAAAAATGAACTTGACTGAATGATACATATAGACATAAGTATATGCTTCAGTTTCTGATATGCTATATTTATATTATGTAAATACATAATAAATATACTTTTTCTCAACTTTTTTGCCTTACAGGGGACGTAATGGATCTCGGAAAGAAGCTCAGCACTCCTAAAGACATTATGTTAGAGGAGTTATCGTTGCTTTCCAACAGAGGGTCGCGGCTTTTCAAAATGCGCCAGCGAAGATCTGAAAAATATACATTTGAAAGTATCCAAAATGAGGCAAACGCACAGCTAAATGTAAGTCAACTTGTGTTATTTAGTCACAATGTTTGAATAAATGGATATAGTGAGCAGCCCATTCCATCCTCTTTCACAATATTGACTGTCATCTGGAGTTTTGGCATTTGTGATGTCTGAATGAAAATTAGTAAAATTTTCTGTGTATTACTCATCAAGCAAATTTAACAGGAAATATGCTCTTGAAAAAAAAAGTGTTACAACACATGAATGATAACAGGGACATGTGCCTCGTGCCTTTTGCATCCTCCAGCCAAATCTTCTGAGAGGCTGCTCGGGCACTTTGCTGAGGAGCTGCTCCCCTCTTTATCAGTGCCTGTTGATGTGTTTCTCTCCGTGTGTGTGTGTGTGTGTGTGTGTGTGTGTGCGTATGTGTGTATGTATCTGAGTGCATGGAAGACAAGAGCAGCTACGGATGTGCCAACTTCATGTTCTGTCACTCAACTGATAACCAAAACTTCATGTGTACTGTACTCTGTTCTGTTTTGCAGCATGATATTTTAAATGCGAATACGCACACTGTGGAAATTAAAGTGGATCCACCAGCAGATGGAAGTGCTGGTAATCCAGAAAACACTGTTTTAGGTAATTGATTTTTTTATGTTTAAGTCCTAATTAATGTTAGGATCACTAAGTAAACAGCACAATCACAATCATAAGTAAAAATAAATGTCATAGCATTAACACAATGTGAATTTGGTAATTGAAAATCATTCCTACATCAACCATTTCTTTCACTGTCAAACTGTATTTTAAATTAATCCGTTACGCTGCACACTCAAATAAGAGCGACTAGATTATGTAATGCTGTCATAATAATGACAACTGATATCATACAGTCACAACAGCTGGTCTTGTCTTATGGAAAGAAATTTGAGTGGCTCTAAGTACCACATCATTGTAGTAACTAAGATTAATTAGACAATACAGCTTTAAATGCTATATCTTATTTTATTCTATTTTAATAGAGCCCTGTGCTTATTCTAAAATGCTCCAGTAGGGTGTCATCCCATGTCGACACTTTATATGATGAGTGCACACTTGAACTATGTGCTATTTTAAGGCCTCAGATCGCAATGATGGACAACTCAGTCTGCCTGTGTAAGTGTTCTCTAAGCACAGTCCCTATTCATAATCCTATCCACTCTAAAACTTTAGCCTCCCCAGTACAAAAAAAATGTATAAAAACAGCTCAGCATTAACCCATAACTGCAAACAAAACCGTCTGATCATTCTGTTGCAATGCTCGAACAATCATCCACAATGTGATCTTCTCATATTTATATTTATCTTTGTTTTTGTTTGCTCCTTGACAGACATGAGTGCAGAGAAGTTAGCCTCAGCTATGCCCAAGTCCTACCACTCCCCATGGGAGCAGGCAATCCTCAGTGACCCCGACCTCGCCGAAACCCTCAAACTGACAATGCCAGCACCAGACCCACGACCAGGTCTTCCTGACTACAAATGCTTTAACCGGTGAGAAAATAATGACCGCATTTGAGTGAATTAGTACAATAAAGAGTACCATTCACACTTGATGTCAATTACAGGGTGGCCACTCCTTTTGGTGGCTTCGACAAATCTCCCAGAGGAATCACGTTCAAGCTCCCTGAGGTGGACCTGAACCCACCCAGTTACCCAGAGCTGCAGGAGCCAGGGATAAAGCGGCCCACCTTCAACAGGACAGCCCAGGGATGGATATCTGAGGGCACCCATCTGATCCTACCCACTGTTACCCTGGAGCCAGTCAAAGTCCCAGAGTCTGATGACCTGTAGATGATCTTACTGTGTGTAATGTGGCAACAACATGTTGGTAGTATTTTGGCCCTGCCTGTGATTAAGGCAAATCATTCAAGTAGGAGCACAGTCACAATTCCTATCCAATATTTTGTTTTTTTTCCCCCAATGGACAAAACATGTTTCATGCATTTGTTGACCCTAAAAAACATGTAAATAGCAAAATGAATGTGCTATACATAATTCAAGAAGAAGAGTTTCCACTGATACTGAAGGCAAAACTGTAACTTTTATAAATGGTCAAATGAATTGATGAATATGTAATGTAAATAAAGAATGAAACTTATTTATTGATAGAACACAACTGGAAGATGCAGTAAGTTATATTAAGTTATTATTGGTAAGCAGTATTTCAATTATATCTACTTTGAAGAATTACAGAATTTATAATCATATATAAAGATAAGACCCTAAGCCTAATCTAAAGAAAAACCTTATGTGAGAGCAACAAATGCTGAATATTCAAATACATATTAATTTAGATATCAATTAAATTAATCTAAAATCATCATTAAAATGTCATAAATATACTTGTAAAACTCAACAGTAAGAGCTCAGTTTTAAGCTCTGATTTTTTATGACTGTTGAAGAAAAAGAAGAAGTTATTTTAGAAACATTTTATCTTGAGGAAATAACATCAAGGTCTCATCAGTCTGGGAGGAAGACTGAGGAACCTGGACTTTGACCTGATGTAACTGTGCCACTCACACTGAACACTATTCATTAAAAACAGCATATTCATACACTCAAAAACTCTGATTCTATACATAAATATATTTCATAACTGTACAAGCAATAGCTATGCCTATCACAAATCAATACAAAGTGGATTAAGTCACACATGCCTGGTTTTGAGTGGAACAACACAAAGAGAAAATGTAACTGTTTGTTCTGTATTGTTTCTAGTCACAGATCGACTAAAAGATTGTAACTTTACAGTATCACAACAGTAGCAATACTGTGTATGAGTGCAAAATACACTGAATGTATGTGAGTGATATTTGGTGTTGTTCTATATTTTACCTCTAATACAGTTTAAGTGTATTGCCTCCTTATACGCACACATCATGCATACTTCATATCATATGTTTCATAACTAACTTCATGCTAATAATTTTTATGCTTCTGAATGTAACTGCACATACATGCAGAATGATTGACAAACTTTCAGACAGCTGGGGGACAAGAGACTGGGAGATATAAGAGGGGAATAATGTGCACTTAAGTCCAGTAAGAACTCATGAGAAAACTGAATACGACTATCATTTTTCCAAAACAAAGCACGGCATTCACACAAAATGGTACGTGAGCAATCCATGTTTGTCTGTCAGCTGTTTCATTACTGTCATCATAAGACATTTAAATGTGTACTATTTTCAATGAATTAATACAGTAGCTGTAAATTTGTATCTAAATCTAGGGGGTTTTTTTTATCATAAATTATAACAGCAATAGCAGGAGAGGTTGAGTATCATGGTAGAGACATTAACCTTCAGACAAAAGTCTAAAAACCTGATAATAATAGAACTAACTGCACTAAAAGTATAAACTAAAATGATAAACTATAAAAACTGCCGTCATAGTCACTGATTTTGGTGGTAGCACATAGATATTTATAGTGGCTGGAAGTCAGTCTAAGTCAATTTATTTTCTAAAAGGCTGAACTACTACACACTGGAAACGGGGGAAAAGACAACAGATACAAAAAAATCAACTCCAAAAATAACTTAAGTTTGACAGCTCATCTGAACAGAACTCAGCTGTGCAACCTTCAGAGGGAGAAATATGAAACCATATTTTTTCAGGCTTTTTTAAATATATAATACGGGAAAAAAAACTTCATGTGTCTCCAGGGAGGCTTCAGTGCTATTGCTGGAGCCAAGACTGGATCAGAGACATGCTACATACAGCTATGCTGTATTAATACACACATCCCATAGACAGTACATGGTCCATACATTATATAACATTGAATAAGTCAGGGCCTATATGAAAATAATGTCTTATTTTACCTTTCTACAGCCACAGTGTATCATTGAAATTGTTTTTTTTTTTGGTTGTTATATTCCTAAACAGATTTCAATCTTGGACTCAGAATCAGTGAGGACCATCAGTGTAACAACTCATGAAGAGGGAATTTATGCTATTTCTCACAGGCTGGTCAGCATGTTGTAGACTCTCACACATTTACATTCACACACACACATACACACACGCTCACACAGTACTGTAAATAATCTACTAGGATCCACTGTACACACTGTATTTAAAGGAAGTGAGGAAAGCAACAGCTTATGAAAAATTGGCATGGGGGATGAGGATGGTATACATTGTGTAAGGTTCACGTCATCAAATCACTCATTTCATCCTGGATTTAAAATAAGAATCTAGAAAATCTAAATCAGAGTTTTTGATCAAACATCACACCAAAGCATTGTTCTGTTTTGAACAGGTCCACTAAAAATATATGTAGAAAACAAACTGGAAGAGAGACACACCAATAATGGGAGTATATTTTTTCTGACTCTGGCTTATATGCACCATCAGTCTCTTTTAGTCATCCTGTCTACACTTAAAACCTGCTCGGCTCTGCAGGCTTTTCCCCCCCTTTCAGACCCTCCATCTGCCCCAATTTTGGTGAATCCATGTCATGTTTACTGTCACAGAGATGAAAAACAGTAGCTTCAGAATATTTGTATTCGCTAGTAGATAAAATTCATGCTCAATATGATGTGTTATTTGCACCAATGATATGAAAGCATGACAACTTCTTTATCCAGTGTAGCTTTTGTTATGGCAATTGTGGAATATTAACACATTTGGTATTTTCTATTCTGTTCTGTTATGAAATTTAAGTGAGAGCATTTATGACAAAAAAAACAAAACAAAACAAAAAACAGGCAGGGTTTAGTCCCCACAGTGCTGCATGATTATGAAACCAGTGCAGTCATGTGATGTCTTCTCTCATCATCATCATGACAAGTTGGAAGTCTGACCTTCCGCCAGCACACAGTTTGCCATGCAGGGATTGAAGATTGCAATACAGCAGCAGTGCACTTGAGGCTACACTAGGGGCGGAGTTTGACCTCTCAAGTCTCAAAACATCACTAATCCGCGTCGGACATTCTGGCACAGGCCATCAACTGCCCCCCCCCTCCTCCCCGTTTGTGCAGAAAAGGGACGAATTTTCACCGAAATACCCAGTGTCCCGACCGGGTCTGCGTGGCATCACACAGAGGCTCTGGCTGCCGCCTGTGTGCGTGTCGGAGGGATTTGGGGGGGAAAATGCTGCACTATGACAGATAGTGCGTTACATGCGTCTGGACATATCTGCAGTCATTTCTAGGCAGTTTTGTTTCGCAGGCTTTCGGAGAGAGAAGTGTTGGGATTTTGCGCGTTGACAGCTGGACCGCCCTGCGCCTTCATTGGAGGCGAGCGAAGCAAGTATCCGCTTCCCTTTAAGGTGAGTCGGCAGAGCACTTGTTTTCTCAATGCCTGAATGCAAGTTGCGGCATATTTCTGCTACTGTAGCTGACCGGGCGCCGTTCCCATATACAGTTCACTTCACCGTGAGGCTGGTGCAACACTGGCAGCATGTCTCCGCCGTGGGAGCGCGCTCATCGAAGCTTTTTTTTTTAGGATTTAACGCAGGAAAACACGGGATGGTCATAAAATCCCGTTCACCATAGGATTTATGTCCTCTTTATGAACCCTGCTGCAAAGATGGGCGCTTATGTCAGACCGTGGCCTATAGAGGTATCACATGGTGTCAGAGAGATTGGTGCAAAAACACACACATGTGGGCACTGACACCAAATGTAGACTTTGAATATGAAATTAGCATGATGAAGACGTTAGAATATTTATGAAACAGGTCATTTTGTGGCCCATTATGACTTTGGGGTGAAATGAAAGGCCTGCAATCCGTCATTTTGTGAAGATATACATTAAAGGTAGGCTACATTTACAAATAAGACTGTAACAAAATATAACCTATGCCTGTAAAAGTTAAATATCTCGTTGACAAATCATGCTTTTGTGTATTTTTCTCATCGACTCATAATTGAAATGATTGATTTTCTCCTTCTATGTACACACATTACAAATGTAAACAAACTAGAGCAGCGTCAGATTGAATCAAAAGGAATTTAGTTGTTGTCTAATGTGGGACCTTGTGGCACATGCCAATATGTTTGTAATAACAAGCATCAATTCTGTGGTACATTTGGTACAAAGATTGTAGCTTAAAGGTAAATGGAATTAAGCTTCAAAGAAGGCAAGCGGCTGTTTATGCTATTGATTATGATGGCTCATTATCATATCAATATGGAAAATCATGTGTTCCAGAGCAAAGCCTGTACCCTTACACATTTTAATGTAAACAACATAGCACCATTTTAAGAAAATTGCCATGATAAAATTATAAAAATAATTATAATGTTTCAGAATTTATTGTAATTTTGTCCCTTGCATTATTATTCAGTCACTCTGCCTTTGTATATTTAATTGTTTTGTCTGCAGACAGTGCATCAGTGATGAAGCAATGGCAGTCAAGTACAAATAAAAATAGATCTAAAGGTATCTGAACATTGTCTGATATCAGACATAATTGTCAACCCGTCACACTCAGTCAACTTGATGGAGTGGGTGGATTTGAAGGTCTGGAAGTCATGCGTTTTATTAGAATATAATTATGTTTTCAGTCTTTTCTCTACGGGTAGGTGAAAAGTGTTTAAAAGTATTAAAAACAGTTAAGATGTTGCCATGTTCTTGCATCAGCCGCTGTGGTTGTCATACAGATTGGGGGTGATGGGTTGTGAAGGCTGAAGGATCATAGACGTGTCACACATCTCAAAGTAAAAAGATACAACAGTATTTACAATTTATGGCCTGAGAATGAACTCCGGGGAAGATTAATTTTACTTAAGTGTTTATCTGCTGTATTCAGCAGTTCTTTGCAAAAGTGCTTAGTTTAATGAGGGAAAACTGTGCCCTGGACTCGTGTTTATATGCCTTTTTGTTTGTTTGGATGCAGGAAATGGCTACTTCACTACTTTCTTTAAGCATTAATTGGCTGCTATTTTGCCTGGCTAACTGCTCTGTCAACTTGTAGTTTACCTCTTCCCTCCTATCTGTCCTCAGATATTGTCCGGTTGCCATTCAATGTCCAGTAGCACATGGCTGAGGCTGCCCTGTGGCTGATCCTGACAATGCTTTCAACCAACCGCTCCGGAGGTGCGTGGGGATGAAATGGATGGAGCCCATGGCCAGACCAACGCACCAGCTCCCACCTCTCAGTATGTCCAGCCGCAGCAAGTCTCCCCCCAACTCTGGAGAAGGTAGAGGACATGATTCAACTGGCATCCAACCAAATCAGTCATTTGGATTAGTGATGTTATGAAAATGATGTCCAAGATTAACTCAGTTTTCATCCAGGGTTGCTTATTATCCCTCATTAGTATCATGCAATAATAATCACATTTTGAATCATAGACCTAAAATGTACTGTATTTAACATGTTTTTATGTTTTGAGTGGGTAATCTCAGCGACATTATGTGTGTAAATCACTACAGAATTAATGAAACATTGTTTGATTGGGATATAATATAATATAGTGTCTTTAAGGTCACACAGTGGGTGTAAATAGCTTTAAAAGAAGACATAGACGAGCCCCCTTCTGGTGAAATACCACACAGAAGATGCATGTCAGGATTTTTTTTATCAGTTGCAGGCTCTAACTCCATGGCATGGGTGAAGATGTTTAAAAAACCGGGAGGAGGCCTGAAGAAATCCTACCAGCCTGGGAGCATGCTGTCTCTCGCGCTCACTAAAGGCCTCCTGAATGAGCCTGGGCAAAATAGCTGCTTCCTGAACAGCGCCGTCCAGGTGAGAACCGTTTTTTGCCAGCTCTAAATTACTAAAAAAAACATTTACATTATTTCTCAATAAGTCTCAATTCTCAAAAAACTTCTCTTTCTAACATGTCTGCACTCTTGAGT